TAACATATGAAACATACATCCTACATTTTTACCTTTAACCTTTGATTAGTGTTTAATATTAATATTAGTGTTTAATATTAGTGATGGTTTTAAACTTAAAGACAAACACAAACCCACTGCTATTTCACACATACAGTATGTAAGTAGTCTTTTCCCACAGCAGTGTCAAATTGGAATTTTTTAACCTTTCTTAAAAGCCATAGTGCACTGTGCATTAAAATCCATAGGGTATGGATTTTAGATTAATTCAAATGGTTTGTTATTTGATTGCTTGAAAAAAGCTGTCTTGAATATAAATCTGCAAAAACTAACTTGAGTTATCCCCACTTAGACAGATTCCCTGGGTGCAACTCATGAGAGTAAAGCAGGATTCAACTCCTTCATCAAGTGTGCTGTCCTCTCTCTCTTGAATTAGGCTGACTCAGTAAAAACAAGCACAGGATTTTTAATACTATCACTGTCCTGACATCACATATTATAAGGCTATGGCTCAATGTCATACTTGGTAAGAAGCAGCTTTTAAAAGTTGATAAAGTATGAATGTGCTTTTTAGGTATGCAGCAAACACATGGAAAATTACTTTGCTATTAGAAGACTGGTAATTTTATTTAGGTCTTTTCCAACCCTAAATATTTAATGATTCTATGTAAGAAACTAACTATGAAAATTTACTACATCTTTTTAAAAATGCACTGTATCTTTATACTTACTATGTACATTGTACATACAAAGGACTGAGCTTCTCCCTGCTGTTGATTTAATAAATTCTAAGTTTAAAAGAAAAAAAATAATTAAAAGAAATAGCTTGGCCTACATACGAGTCTGGACAATGCTTTTTAAAAGTCATTACCGTTTTATTATATCTATATACCAAGGGTTTTATTAAAATTCAATCAAAAAATGCTGGCCTCAGCTCTATAAGCACTGAACAGAAATCTGCTATCAGGGTACATAGGAAGTGGCCTGTTCTGCCACTGAAACCGTTTTGCACTGTACCTGACCCCACTGCAACAGCCTTTGCCATTTAGGGTAATTTCTCGTGAACCTTCAGAACTGAGACGTCATACAATGTAAAACCCAAGCTCACCTCTTTATTTCAGGCAGAAATAATTTAAATTAATTGTTATAATTATTGTAAAGTAGAATTGATGGTATTATTTGAGAATTAGGTAGGGGTTTGACTTTTATATTAGGCTTTTAAAAATTTGAAATCATTGCTTTGAAATTAAATCTTAGCTTTAATTTAAAGCTAATTGTTTGCTTTAATATTGGTAATGTCAGTTGTTTGTTTGTTTTTTTTTAATAAGAATCTATGCATGTAAACTCATCCTTAAGTACACTTGTTAAAACTAGAACAGGAAAAAAAAGTTTTGTTTGGCAACTGGACAATTTCAGGGACAAGGAAATGCAATGATAGAAGTAAATGCTAAAAATTTGTTTCATAACACTTGTAAAGTACAGACATTGGTTGTCTGTAGAGACACCTGAGGAGTATGTCTACTGGGAGGGTTTTTAATTGCATGAGTTGCATGACTGAAAGCTAACTGATCTGTTAGAGAGCTGCATTGCTGCTCTTGATAGTTTTCTGTTTTGCAATATATGTGTTGAAATGTTTTGGATGTATAGCACTGGTGGCCAGAGTTCCAGGTGGGTACCTAAAGCCCAGCTTTCTTCATCTGAAGTCAAAACAAGTAACTACTGTTGCGAGATCGATGTGGAAGATAAAATAGTAAACAACACTACCCGAATAAAAGCAATAAAAATAGAAAATCTCTTCCGTAATGCTGTGTTTATCCTAACACGCTGCTGAGGCAAACTGATTAAAATTCAGCTTTTGTGGTCTCTCAGACATACACTGCTCAGCTGGTGCATGTTAGAGCCCACACTTTCAGCAACGATGAGCTGGTTTTTTTCATCAGGTTATGAAATTATTTTTCGACTTTCTTGGTTTCTGGGTAAAATACTCTAACTGGAAAGTACAACCTTCACACACTATCTCAGACTCGACTCAACAAGGATGATTTGCTCGTCCATGTCCCATTCTGGCTTCCAAACACCACAGACACCTAACCATCTTGAAGAGAACCATAAAGGTCTCTTACTGCTGCACATTAGTGGAGGTTTTCTTCCCCTTCCCGTGTTCAGTGCAGGAAGTGATTTGGAAAGACAGTTACAACTTTTAAGTCACTTACTTTCAAGTGATACTTTAGGATTCATTTTGAAGAACATATAAAGTTGGACTGGAATTTAATTTATCACATAATAAAAAAAAAATAAATTGTTATTTGACGAGGATGCTCTTTGAGTTCCTGCAAAATTTTCAGCAACTTATCTCTGGGTGATAGTGGTAGGAATGCTGCCTAGCATGAGGGACACTAAACTAACATGGGGGCTCCTTCACTCCTAGGTATGAGATGAACATTGTTGCACATAGAAGTTGTCCCATTAAAACAGAAGGAACTACTCTCATACATGCATTAAAAACATATATGCAAGTCTCTGCAGGATTACAAAAGGCAGGAAGCAACAGGCTGGGGCAACAGACACCAGATGGGTGAAAGGAAGAGTAAAGTGATAGGAAGACATGGTTATGTGGGCAGGTTGCGTATGCAGCTTACAAGTCTGAAGGCAGCTGAAGGACTGATTTTAAAGTTTGACCTGGTTTTAAACAAATGTGATGCTTGTCATGTAACAGCTGTTCCAGAAGCACCTGCAGTTCCAGTGCTCATGATCAATAACTCACACTAACTTTAAATCATGGTGAGACCACCTACACAACATTTTGGATGATAACACTGCTTTTTTTCTATAGAACAGTGTTCAGCATAGTTCATGCTTCACCAGATACACCAGGGTACACCTTAAATAGCTTGCAGGGAGGCAGCTGATGTACTGATGAAGCAATACAGAGCCTAATGTTCTGGTGGTCCTCATAAAATCAGAATATAGCTTTGCCAAGTCACTGGTTAGAGAAAGAGTGAGGAATAGAAGAGCTTGCATGCAAATCTGTAGTGAATGGAGAGTAATTATATAGGATTAGTAGCAATATACAGTAATAACTCCTGTAAATGCCTTGCCAGGAACATCGAACTTTCCATAAAAGCTGAATTTTTAATAAGTAAACTCAGGAACTCTGAAGAAAGAGGAGCAAAATTTCACAGCTGTAAATAACCCTTTTGTGCATAGGCAAGAAAGTTAACACTGACCTATTACTTTATTTTGAAAATTACTTCCAAAAAAAGAACCCCCAAACCACCACAGTAAAAACTTTGCCCATGAAGATGTATCACTCCACTGTCAGTAGAGCAAACTGCACCTAAGTCATGTAAACATGACCCCGTCCTTTTGAAGAAAGGGCAACATAATGTTCTCTTTGCAAATATATGTAATTTCTACCATACAATGCAGAAGATAGTATTTTTACTTGCAAAATAAATATGCAGACTGTTAAACTGAAATCGTATTCAGAACATGATGAATAACATATTTGAACATTTTATTTAGTACAAGAAGTACTCAGAATTTCACTGTTGAGTCAAAAGAAATCTAAAAAATTATAACTTTGGCTTAATTTCAAATCTTTTTACTAGAAAAACTTTTGTAAGCCCTTGTGAAATGAAGCCAGATTAATTGTTATGATTCCACTACTTTGTAAGGCTCTAGTCATACAGATGAACAGTGACCATCACCACAGCTGGGAAAAGCTGCCAAAAGACTAACCCTAAAAATAGGAAGAAAGAAAATAACCCAACCCTGTAAATAACAGCCAGTTATGCTCTTTATTCAAGCAAGTGTTCAAATGATCAGGAGTTGCGGCAGGATCCTGTAGTGAACTGCTCATCTGATGGCTTCTCAATATGACGTTTTACTCTAGTGAATATGCTACCATATATTTGTAATTAATTCCCAAAGGACACAGAAAGGTACAGTGATGCGCATTCTGCCATGGGAAAGGCACATCAGAGCTAATTTTATCCTCTGTAACTGCAAACCCCATGCCTTCCAATAAATTGCTGAGGAGGTGGAGTTTCTTTGCATACTTTTCTCTCTGGCACAGAGACTTATCCTCAGTTTAAATTACCATTATGCTATTTGTTCTTCCATGTGTCAGCAAACTCAGTTACCTTGTACTTACAGCAACACCCTGGAAACACAGCTTTTGCCTCAGATGACAAGACTTGAAAAGGAGGCCTGTGTTTTCCTTTAATCTAACAATATGAAAATAATTGTTTGTTTTTTTTTTTTACTGCCAGCCACCACAGAACACAGACCGGCTGAGAGTCAGCACTCCCCTGGGAAAGGCACCAAAGCCCAGCAAAGAGCAAGCTCAGTAGCAGGAATATGGTGCTCCAACCGCTGAACTCGAATTTATCTGGTTTTGGGAGGGAAGAGGAGAGGTAAATTTATTTTCTATCATCAGGAGGGTATTTTCTTTTCATAGGTGAAAGGGGGGGGGAAGAAAAAGAAAAAACAAACCAGGCATGTATGCCACTGCAGTAGCGATGCGCTACATAAACCACTCATTTCCTAGGAGCGCTAATTCAGGCACCAGGTCGTTTTGACTGTTCGTGCGGAGCAGGAGCCCCAACCCTCCGCTCGCCTCCAGCCGCCTCGGGGGTTGCTCGGAGAGAGCAGACAGGGAAAAAACCTGCTGGGGTGAGACTGGACGTTTCCTCCCTTCCAGAGGACGTGAACCCACAGCTGGCCCCGTCTCTGCACACTTCGTGAGCGTAAACTGTACTGCAGAAGCGCACCCGAGAGAGGCACCTCTGCGGACGGTTGCGGACCGGCGGGACGTCCCGAGGGTCGCCGCTTGCGGCGCCAGGAGCCGTCGGGCGGAGCCGCTGTGCCCGCTCCGGGTGCCCGTCGTCCCGGCTATCGGGAGCAGGTGTCCCGGAGAGGAGCCGACACTCCTGCAGCCCGCTTGCCTGCCTTGGCCAGATCTCAGGATGAGGCTGGCGAGGGGTAGTTGCGAGGTAGGAGGAAAGCGTCTTCCTTACCTGCTGATTTTCAGGGCGAACGCCCTCCTGTCCGCGGCGGGTAAAGTCGCCATGCGGGAGAGCAGCCGCGGGTGCCGGCTGCCGACGAGGACGGACGCCGGCTGCACGCACGAAGGGCGGCTTTATTTCATCTTATTTTTGTTAACTGCATGCTCCGGGCTAACCCCCCGACAGTCTGCTGACAGTTCTGGCTGACAGCTTCCGCATTTCACCTTCCTCACTGAAATCGCTCAGAGTGGGAGGAGGGATCTGCCCTTCTGCACAGCTGGCGTCTCAGCCCTGACACTGCCTGCCCCGCCGGGCCCCGGTACCCGCGCCTTGCCCCGGTGGCCCCTGCAGGCTGCCTGCCGCGGAGCGCCCTGGCACAGGGCAGGAACTTCCCCCCCCTCCCCAAGGCTTAACACAGGCGACCCCGAACCGCCGGTAGGTATTTTGAAGAGAAGAGGCAGGTAAGGCAAGCATTTCAGCAAGCGCAGTGAGGAAGGAGGAGGAAAAGAGCCTTGTACCTGTGAACGTGCGCAGCGGCGGAAATCCTTGCACATCGCCCCAGCCCTTTTCCTTTTGGAAAGCGCGCTGCGGCTGTCACACCCTCCACCATTCCCGCCCGGGCCGAGGGCAGCTCTGGAGAGCCAAGCCGGGAAGCAGTGGGCGAGACTGGGCCCCAGACAGGCCCCACACCGCCCTCGGGCAGCGCCGATCCAGTCCGGTCTTCCCCTTAGGCAAGCGCAGCCCCCGGGCAGGGTAAAGCAGGGGCAGGGCAGACCGGCACTCACCGCGCTGCAGGCAGAGGAAATAGCCCGGGTCCTTTCTTTGGCCCTCTGGCATACAGGTGGAGTTGTTCGGGCAGGTAGAGGCAACAAGGTGTCAGGCATAAATAAACGCCAGCTCCTCACCTGGGGTGGTATTTTGCCAATACACATGTGCACCCAGGATACAGGTTTCTCTTACCCCAAAACCATTTGGAATGTGTAAGGAAAACTCACACGTATCAACACTAGGTACCAGCTCAGGTTAACACTAAGCAGGTCCAACTGCAGTTGTCTTCGCCTGCACTTACAGCTCAACCTTTTAAAAAGGCCTTTTTCATTAAGGGTTCTGTGGTTTGTGCTACAAAGTGATGCTTCCTGGCTGGTAGCTCTCTCTCAGCCTTGGTGTGGATTTCCCTGCTTCTGCAGTTAAGCAGGGCTCAGACTTCATGTGAAAGGGGAAGAGACAGAAGCCAAATGTGGCTTCTGCTGGTGAATTCTGGGGTAGCAGAGGCAACTCAGTTTAGCTTGTCCTGTTTTCATTCTTGTCTCTTAGTTCCATTTCATTCTATCTCCTGTATGAAAGAAAGGAAATGGGAGGAAAAAAAATGCTCTGCAGCTCTCCACTAGTACAGTAGGTACTGCCACATGGAATTGCTTTCCAGTAGCTTAACTTTGCATTGTAGATAACCTGTCACTGGAAGAGCTGCTCATCCATGGCAGGAAGTCTGCTCTCCTCTGTTTCTCAGAATACTGTTTTTGAGAAACATAACCATCCCTTTTGTTGTTTGATTTCAAAAGCTTCCATGAGGTGCTGTGCCTCTGTTCGTAGCAACTTACAAGCTATGGAGGAGAATCGCAAGCAATAAAAAAATCAAAGCAGGAAGCTCCATTAACCATTCTGTACAGTAAGACAATGGTTTGGGTGTTAGACAGGTTTCACACACGTCTTTCTGTTCATGGCAGGTCTAATGAAAGGAACTGGACATTCTTCCTTTGCTGAAGTCTCTGGTTACTTGGGTTTGGGGTGTTAGTTTAAGAGATGAAGAACTGCTCAGTACCTCATTTTTCACTGAAGCTATAAAAAGAGTCTAGGCTTCATCTTAACAGCTCATGTGGCATCAAGTAGGCCCTTCCTTGATTGCCAAACCTGGCCACACAAATCAAGCTATCAGCAATGTGAATCCCAACTTAAACACACATACCCATTTATCAATGACACAATTATTTATTTCATAGTTTCATACATTCTTTATACATTCTTTGTCCATACAAGCATGGACAAAGGAATAACTCAAAAAATATTCTGTCACATGCAGGAAAGAAAATGCCTGAGGAGACACATAGAAGTAAGGTTTCCAAAACTGCTAGTATATTCATCAGGTCCAGACCAAACAGATCATTTTAAGTTTTCATCTTTTTTGATGAACTGAATTATCAGCAGTCTACTTCAGCACATGAACAGAAAAATTCATCAAATATTCCTTTTCATCTGTAGTGTCAGCAACTCTATTGTCTTTTTGGGGGGAAATTAAGTAAAAAAAAAAACAAAAGAGAGTTTACATGGTTTTAACTCGCTGGAGTACTACCAGACAAGATACACTGCTCTAGCTTGTTGCTAAATACTAGTGTTTGAATTCCTGCAACAAACCCATTATATACAAGGTCATGAAATCTAATCATGCCTTTAGAACAAGATCTTTCCAGTCACAAGATTAAAAACAATGATATCAGACCAGGTGCCAGTGAAGGCGGCACAAAATCAGAAGTGAAGAAAATGTAATTCAGAGCAGACCAAGGTTTTCCAAACCTAGCTTGCTTGGATGGCAGCAGCTGTGGTGGGTCTTGTATACAATACAGCAGAAAGCATATTTATATTCACCATTTCCTCCTCTCCATCTTCCTGTTGCACACAAAAATGCATCCCAAACAGTGGTCCTAATTGTTAACTTTAGCCCTAGAATCAGTCATAAAGCCGCACTTCCCTCTAATTCCTCTTGGGCTTCAAACGTTCTCACCGTGCTTCTGTCTTCTTCCTGCCACCTAAGTGGGAGGTGGTGGGTCCATCTTTGGTTGCTGTGACTGGGCAGGCTGAGGAGGTGCTGAGCTGTGCTAGGGACAACACAGGCTGGGTATGAACACACTGGCAGAACAGCTGCTGCTGCGTACGGTTTTAAAGGTGTTTACAAGCAGGGATTCATGAAATGCTGGAGGAGACAATAATCAGTATGTCTACATGCCACTTACCATGGGATTTTTTTTCTGTTAAGGCACACGTTCCCAATATATTCCCAATCACTTCTTCACTGGCAGTGGTATCCCTGCAAAGAATGCTATTGCATGACAGAGTATTACAGCATCATGCCCATCATTAAACACAACTTTGTACCCCAGGACAACAAAGCCTTACCGAAGCTTTAGGTGTCACCTGCTTCTTTGTAGAGGATGTACCTCATGCTTGACCAGCAACTGAGGTAAGTTCACAGGAGTTTTCTTAGTATCTCTTATAATGGTAAATTTGCCTCTGTGGCAAAACACACCAGCGGTATATAACTGTTATCTGATCACGTCATAATAATATGTGGAGGTTCACACCAACAAAGAACTGTGATGAACTCAGTACAAGCCAGCAAACACACAATGCCTGTAATGTTTGCTCATATTCCACCTTCCTACAACATTGCTGGCTACAGGAGTACCATGTAACAAGTGCAACTAGACGCTCTTTCCTTAAAGGAAGCTGACACGCCACCGAGTCCCGTACTCTTGCTGACATAGATCTTGGCTGTATCCAATAAAATCCAAGTGATTTATTCAAGACTGTTTTAAACAAAAAATGTTACATAAAATTTAGAAGGCTAAATCTCATGAAAATTAAGTGTAATTTTCCATTCCTCCTTCTGATATATTAAATATGGCAACAAAATGCTGAACCTTCCTTACAAAAAAATAAATCTAAAAAGTCACTCCTAGGTTTAAGTTTCATTTCTGTGTTGGTGAAACAGAAGAAGAGGAACTTAAGATCACTTTGCAGCCTCTGCTTTTTGTCGTAACAGTTGACTAAAGGAAAGAAAAAAAAAACAACAAAACTATGCTATGTGAAAGCATATCTTCTTTTCCCATTTGTCTGTGCAAATTATTCTGGAGAAACAAAGATGTTACTGGTCAGATCATCCCCAGAGTTTCTCAAACAGAAATGTTTCTTTGCTCACCTTCACAGTAATCAGAACTTAAGCAGAGACAACACTCATTTTTTCCCCCTTACTGTCATGATCTTACATACAACTAGGCAACTTGCTGGATGATGTCTGTTGATGTTTATATCCTGACTTTAAGCCTCTCCTTTATTCTACTATACTCAGGTTCACCAAATTTCACATCATAACAGCATATTGAGCACATAAGTCATAGCAAGCAGCAGTGTTAAAAAGCAGGTGCACTGGTTGAAGCAAGATCTTCCTTCCATGACATGTGAAGAATCTGTATTCTTCAAAGAAAAATAAAGCCCAGTTGTCAGAAGGAGCTGTCAATCCAAGACAGGAAAATAGAGTTTAATATAGAAATAGTTAAACACAGGTAAGAGGCAAGAAAGAAGTAACTGTACCCAGGGGAGTACGCAGACCACACTAAAGTTATGTCTCTGCTTATCAGCTTGTATTTTGAGATACACACGTACCAGCTGAATAGCTACAGAGCTGATCATGAAACTGAACTTAAGTTCTGTTTCCATGTTGTTTCTCATGTCAAATATCATTCATTTGCAGCAACTCCTTACCTCCTTACTCTGTGATGCTGAACTACATTGTACATACAGCAACACATACAGCAGTAAAGCATCATGGCTACTTCTCTGGCAGCCATGATGCTTTAAGACTGTTATACTCTTCATAACATTAAAATGATTTTCTTTTCCTGTTATTTCAATCAGATCATGCTCCCTTTGCTACTGAATCAAGAATCAGTAAGCTGCAAGGCTCTTCAGTGCAACTTCTTCCTTGTTTTCACGCTCTTGAAAGTCTTCTTCCCTACTTCTTCTCAAAGAGACTTAAACACTTTTGTCCATCATCCAAAGTGGCCTGAAGCAAATGGCTTTGATTGCACCAAGATCTTCAGTATTTAGGAATGGACTAGCTTATTTCAATTGCGGCCACCTAAATGACTAATTAAATATGACTTCCTGGTACACATCAACAATTTACTGCTTTCTGGTGTTGTATGTCTGGTCTCAAATACCTCAGACTACGACTGCAACCTGGATCTAGGCTGGCTATGCTCATTGTAGCTGCCACCACAATAAAATATGCAGGTTTTGCATTTATCTTTACAAAGTAGGCTTTATTACATGGGGCAGTAGAACACACAGTTAACACAGCAGAATTCTGAAGTTTGAATATAAACTTTAAAGAAACCAAAAGGAAACCCATAAACCATAGTATTTATTTTAGGTAATTTTGTTCAAAAGAAAAATAATGAGCAGTGTCATGTGAACTGGTGAAAAGCAAAACAACTTGAAGAACCAGAGCACTTGTTTCATTACATTTTTCTTCCCCAATACCAGATGTCTCACTGACATGTAACTGAAATGTCAGTATTACAAATCCTCTAATTTTTGAAAGACAACTTACAGCCTTTTACATGTTCTGTGATGCCAAGATCCTGTTCCCAACACCCTTCTAATTTTTTCTTCCTTTACCCCACAAGTAAGGGATTTTCTTGCAGTAGAAAGCTTAACATTTTTTCTTCATCTTTTAATAACAGAACTGTGTAAAGTTGAGCAGACTCAGGACAGCAAAAACTTGTATCATTGGTCATGGTTCTAAGAGACATGTCTTAAAAAATAGGCTGATCAGGTTTTTAAATTAAAACAGGATGTGCCATACAAGGGGATGATCTGAGTAGTTGAAACAAGAACACAAGAAGAGACGTACTGATCCTAAAACTCTGCAAATCAACAAACTATGTACTTACTGCCTATAATGAATGGAGAACACTTACTGCCTTCCACAGATAAGGAAACAGAAATTCCACAACTGATTCTTGACAGCTGCCTTTATTTACTGAAAATACCCAAGCCTGTCACCTTGCTAAACTCCAGAGTATTGTGTTTGTGCCACTGAGATGGCAGATTTACAGTGTAGGACAGCATGAGTTATTTTAACTACAACCAAAACAAACAAAAAATGCATTTCTCTCACAAGTCAAGATTTTAATAATTTTCTTCTGAACTTATTGTCTGGACAATAGCTATAGGTATTTCTGTGGAATAGTTTTATCTTCGAGGACAAGCTGAATTAATGGGCTAAGTTATTTTTAGACCAGACTTTTATACGCTTGTTATAATCAGAATGACTAAAGTAAACGCAAACTATTTTAAGTGGAATATCATTAGTATTAAAGGAATGTTTTAACCTACACCAGTACAGGATGATCCAAGGATATCTACTAAGTATATTTACTGACATACAATCCAATAAACATACAAACAAGCTAAGGCCAACACAGCTCATCTGCCTATACTCAAACCAGTGTTACTGGACCTTATTTTAAGTGCAGAGGACCACACCTGGGTTTAGAGGAGCGTATGTAACTATGCATCAGGTAAACCTCTTCTCCATGCCTCCTCCAATACCATTATATTTACACATTTTAACATGAAGAAATGGAAAACATAGTACCAATTTGCTAAGCTTTGCTCCACAAAAGGTGGGAATTTCACAAGACTGTTAAATAACCGCAGATAGGTGTTAACAACACACGTACATGCCTCGTCACGGCATCTACCGGGAAACAGAGAAAGCTAACGTTCAATTTGTAGCTTAACTTTATTTGACTATTAATAAAAGAAAGCACATCCACCTCGCACGAGGGTTGCCGACCGCACAGGAGACATCCCCAGCGGTCCCCATGGGTGGGAACTTCCCGAAACCGGACTGAAGAGGATGCGCGGTCGGAAGGACCCGGCCCGCCACCGCCACCACTTCCACAGCCCTCATGCAGCCCGGCTGCCGGCTGTTCACAGCAGGCTCTTAGCCCACCGCTTCTCCAGCTGCGGCACGGCTGCACAGCCTAACCCGGCCCCGCGATGAAGCCCAAAGCGCATGCGCGGAGAGGAGACGCTGTAAGCCGCTTGCGTGCCCTTCGCCAGCGTGAGGCGGCGTTGGCGCCGTGCCGTGCCGTGCCATATGACGTGACGTGACGTGCGTGACGTCGGGAAGGCGCGGGTGAGCGGCGGTCCGCGCTCAGGCCGCAGGGGCTCAGGGGAGGGGCGGTGGTGCCCGCCGCAGCCTGCACCCGCCTGTGGCTGTCCCCCGGCCCCCCTGCGCAGAGCTGCAGGGCCCGTGCCCTCATGGAGGACGAAGTCTGCCCCGACCTGGTCCCGATAGACGCCGGCGGCGAGGGGGAGACCGAGTCCAGCCGCAGCAGGAAGATCCCCGTGACCATCATCACGGGGTATCTGGGTGAGAAGCAGCCCCGCGGCCCTGCCCGCCGCCGGCGTGCCGCGCCTCCCGGTGCCGGGGGTAGCTGAACAGGCGGCCCGGGGCGGTTGGGAGACCCGAGGACGGGGCTAGGCAGCGGGGGCTCCGCAGGCGAGAGCGCTTGGCAGGTCCGGCAGCTGACCCCGTGCCCGCCGGCTGGGTGGCAGAGCGCGCCCCTGGTGCTGTACAGAAAGCGGTCATCGGCGCTGCTCGCGTAGTGAAAGCGCGCTGTCCTTACGCAGCTTCTGCCAAGTGCAGCTCCGGCCATGCTTTCACAGCGATTTCGATCAGCGGTACCAGCTCCAGTTTTGTTATGGTTATGTTTGACAAACCGCGTTTTGCCACCGAACGTCAGTATATTTAACAGAATGCATTTAAACTGGGTATTTGCTGAGTTAAATTCAAACTGAATTGCAGTCGTAGAAATGTGAGGCTTGGCTTCCCTCACTTAAACCAACACGATTTTGAGAGCTTCAAATAGAGATGTGTATGGTAAGGGTAAGAACCAGCACTGTTCTAAAAGTTGTAACTTTCCATTACATCATACTCACAGTGGCCCGAGGGCAGGGAAGGAAGGTTGCTTTAGCAAATTCCCGTACTTCTGATCTTGTGCATATTCAGGGTGAAACTGTTAGTAACGTGGTATTACACAGAAGGTGTGAACACCTTGGTTAACAGTGCCTCATGTAATGGCAGTCAGTAGCACATCATTGATTACGGATGACAGAAGTGCTGGTTGGAAAAGGCGGTGGTAGGGGGAAGAATAAGTGCACCTTTTGTTAACTGAAACGTAAAAAGGGTTTTCTCAGGAAAGGCTGCCCAGCTGATAGAGGAGTTTTAAGTCTGTCAAGCACTGACAGTGAATGGGAAACCACCTGTCTTTTTAAGGCTGATATTTAATATCCTGATAGTTGCATGGGATCAAATTATCTTTACAAATTAATTTTTACAGTATAATAATGGAATGCAGGCTACAATCATGAAAACTCATATTTCAGGAGAGGAGAGATTTGTTGGAGGTTGCACAACAGTATTTGCCTTTTATTTGAAAATCTGCGCTTTTAAAAAACATTTTAATAGAAATATCTGTGTTCTAGGAGCTGGGAAAACAACTCTTCTAAATTACATACTTACAGAACAGCATGATAAAAGAATAGCAGTTATTCTGAATGAGTTTGGAGAAGGTATGTAAATCTGCAGAAACATTGTTTTAGCCATAAAATGACAAATACATACAAATTCTGGAAATTGAAAGCATTGTAGTTTTAAATCTGTTACTGAAGTTACTGCTTTATGTCATTGTCTTAAGAAGGGCAAAAAATCTTTTGGATAGTGTTCATAATACTATGCATTAATCTGTTTCTTACATAAATCGAGGCCCTTGGAGTCAAGGTAACGAACATATCACCCTTTTGGAAGTTCTGTGCCTCCATTTGTCCTACTTAGTTTCAGGCAAATGAAAATGAAAGTAATGTGTTGGTGGATAATATTTTCTTTCCCTGCCTGTCAGTCACTTGCAGATCACAAATTATCCCCAAGAAAATGGGAAGGTGTGTGCTTGGTGTCTGTAGTTCTTTGAACTTTTCTGCTTTCCTTCTCGGGATTTTTAACTGTTACAGCTGTGATTTCATATCACCATTGCTTACAGTTTGCACCAAGTTGGTGGTGTTTTCTTTGTTCGTTTTTGTCAACAAAGATGTGTACTGCTTTTCTGGTCATGGAGTCTAAATTGAAAAGTAAGAGAGATCCTTTATTTGATATGGAGGTGAAGGCTGACTTCCCATTCTGTCAGCAAAGTTTGTGACATTTACTCTGTACTTTCATTCTGTGGGTTTTGGTCTTTGTAGAACCAGCTTGACTTTGGCTTTTAAATTTCTCATAAAATGGAAAATACTAATTTCTAAAGAACATGCCAGAAACATGGTCTCAGAATTAAAATATATAATACAAGAGTAAAAATGTATACCAACTCAAATCTTTCATCTCTTTTCCAGGTGTCGTCATGCAGATTTATAGATTAATATTGTAGTACTACTTATATTTCCAGGAAGTGCCTTGGAGAAATCCCTGGCAATCAGTCAAGGGGGAGAACTCTATGAAGAATGGCTGGAGCTCAGAAATGGCTGCCTGTGCTGTTCAGTAAAGTAAGGAACACATTCTTAGAGTGGGTTTTGGGAGAGCTGGAGAAAGGACAAGACATCGAGAATCTGGTTCCTAAAACTGGTGGTAGTACTGACTGAGATTTCCTTGTAGGATAAAACAAAAATTGGACTTTGGGAGATAGAAATTTACTTCATTTTGTTGCCTCACTGGGTTTGGACTTAGTGTCTTTCAGAAAAATAATCCAAATACTGATTTATACACCATTGGGATATTGTAGTTAAGGAGCTCTCCTTCTTCTGTATTACATGCTTTTATACAGAGAACTAAAGATACAGGAATTTCCACGTTAAATTATCTGGTTTTTTTATTTGTGTTTTGGTTAATACATGAATACTCTACACCTCAGGGTGGAGAGAGAACCTTTTGGTAACCTAATGAAATACAGAATTCCAAATTGTTAGATGATGGTCATGTTAAAATGCAGGAGTGTATTTGTTCCTTCGACATGTTTTGACCCTTTTTGCTTGAATGCTAGGTTGTTTGTGCTAAGTTTATCGTGAAAGTGATGGCCTGTTAGTCGTGAAAATTTGGAAGAACTTATTCTATGCCTGAAGTTGGAGTAGTAAATGGAAAACGGAAGACCCTGTTGCACTGTGTTCTGTTGGGATGCAAGGAATGCCGCCACTGCTGCAATATTTTACATACATTGGTGTCTTATATAAAATGTCATACATTTCTGCTTCAGGCTGACTTCATCAGCTGAGATCTAGTAAATAACTCCTCTTAATTTTGCTGTAGGTAAGGTGGAAAGGCAGGAGAACATGGTTCAGTTCTCCAGCTCCCTTCCCGCCAAACGAAATAGTCATGTGTTTACACTGGCCTACTGTCCATTACAGGGTTTTCAGTGTTTGAAAACAAATCTTCATTTAAATCACCTTTATTATTCCTGCTGGGAGTAAGCAAATACTGTTTCAGACCAAAATAAAACAGGAAAGTACAGTTTGCCTAATACTAGAGCAGCAGCTGGATGGCTGAGTTTTCATTGTGAATTGTAAACCCTGACTCAGCCCTTTGCTTTGATGGTAATGACACTGTGTTCTGCGTCAGAAGATAAATGTTTATACATGTTTTAGCTTGTTTTCTCTGTTCTCACATTTGTTTCTTCTTACAGGGACAGTGGTGTGAAGGCGATTGAGAACCTGATGCAAAGGAGAGGAAAATTTGACTATATATTGTTAGAGACAACTGGTTTGGCAGATCCAGGTAGTTCAACATTACAGTTTTCGTAACTGATAATTATTTTGTTTTTATGAGGTGCTTGTTTGCTTACCTATCAGTTCACTGTGCAAGACGTAATCTAAAGTAGTGAGTTATCAGGCATATACTTTAATTGCTACATAGACTAAAAACTGAATTAGATAGGTGCAGAAGCAGGGATTTGGGGGGTGTTTTTTTTTTTTTTTCAACTTACTCCAGATTGCCCCTAAAGCTCAACAAAAATCCAGCTAAAATGTATTTCTATAAAGAAAAGAAACTGGGCTTGGAGAAGAGGAGCACCCTGGAACTAGTGGTTTTCAGACGGCTTTTCAGATGGCTTTTGCTGTTCTATATTGTTCCTTCTCAAGTATAAATTGTTAGCATCTGATGTATTGTTACACTGATTGTTATAGAATTTGCATTTTATGAAGTCATAAAATATGCTCCAAAACAGACTCATACATGCTTCTGGTAGGTAGAGAACAATAATTGATCTTAAAAATTTCTTGTGTACTCTTTATCTTTAGATATTTATTATAAAAAGGTGTTTAAACTTGAGCTCATGTTAGTAATAGCTATCTAAAACAATTTTCACTGAATCATCAATTAAAAATGTGTTGTTGATCGAGAGTGAAGGAAATTCTTATCAGAAATGCAATTGTTTCCATTTAGGAGACTGATGTTTTCCAGCTGAAAGCTAAATAGTTGTCATGGTAAAGTAATTTCCTTCAAAGGAAAGGACATTGATTTGGCCTCTGTTACGGACAAATTCTGTGTGAGTCAAATTGGAAAACTATTAAGGTTTTGGGAAAAAAAATCAATAGACGCCAGAAAACCATTAGATGTGGCCTGCTATATCTTGCATGAGTAAGCACTGTGAACAAATGACAGGCATTTGGTGTTGATGCCGAGTGATGCTTGGAGGACTGCATATTGTCATTTCAGGTGGACAGTTGTAGGTGTTAGAATGAGGTTAGTTACTGAGGTTTTTTGTTGTTTTGTTTTTTTTTTCTTCTAATGTGCTTACTTCACTTAGTTACTGACAGCCTGCCTCTAACAAAGGTTCTGATAATTTAAAAAAAAAAGTGCTGTTGCTGCTGTGAGCTCCTCTTGTCCTTCATATTGTGCCACTGATCTATGTTGGTTTTTTTTCATAATTATGATGTTTTAATTTTTTTTTCCTTAATAAATATACAGCACATTCTGCAGTTGCTAGAATCTATTTTACAGGGCCGTTTTAGCAGAAAACAGGAGTAGCTTACTCCTAGGCCATGTGTAGTACACAGGTATCAGGTCACAGATTCAGAATCCTTGCTAGAATATGGTGCAAGTTGTCCAACTACTTGTTGATTCTTTTTGCTCAAGACTCAGCAGCTTAGTAATTTTCTGTTTTACATCCTCACAAGATTACAGATTACTGTACAAAGACAAGAGAATACTACATGTTTCATTATTCCAGAAGGATCTCATCTGGATGGAAATCCAATGGATAATGAGGCCTAATATGAAAAAATACTAGAATCATACAAAATAATTCAGTTTGGAAGGTATGTTAGGAGGTCCTCAGTCCAACCTCTTGTCCAAAACAGGATCAGCTATAAGAAAAGACCAAACCCTTTGGGATATCAGGTCATATATCTCCATCCTCTAAGGATAAATTTGACACAACCTTTCCAGGCAACTTGTTCTGTGCCTGCCTTTTCATGGTGAAAAAACGTTTTTCTGATAAATGTTGTCTGGACCTTGCTTAGTTCAGCTTACTACAGTTGTCTCCCATCCTTCTCCCACAGTCTGGATCAATTCTCAGTGACTCACCTGTAGGTACCAGGGAGGATGCTGTTAGGTTCTACAGGCACTTTTCTGTCTCCCAGGCTGAGCAAATGCAGTTCCCTCACCTCTCCTTGTAGGGCTTGTGCTCTGTCCTCAACTGTCTTCATGATAGTATGCTTCCTGTATGGGGGATCTGTGTGCTGGAAGTGCTAGCCAGATACGGACTTGAAAGTGTTAAATAGAGGAAAATAACCTGCTTCAGCCATGCTTTTGTTCCAACAGTCTGGGGTGGTTTTGGCCTTTCTGATCCATGGGTACACTGCTTGCTTGCTTCCTGCCTGCCTACCAGGATGCCCAGGGCATTCTCTGTAGACTTGCTCCCCAGGCAGTCTGTCCCTAGCCTGTGTCATTGCCCAGGGCTCTTCATTTGTAAGTGTATTATTACTCAGTGTTTTTTCTTGCTGAATTTCATCTGTTTCTTGTTGGCCATTCCCTCCTGTCTGGCCATGTCCCTCTGAAAGATATCTCTGCCCTTAGATATATTAGGTGTTCCTTTCCAACTCTCATAGTCTCTGCAGTCTTGACAAGCATGTCTTCTGTTCCTTCTTGGTTCCTGGTGGATGTTAAACAGGACAGGTTTCACCCAGAATAGAACCTGACTTACCTTAGGGTATGACCTGTTAATTGCAGCTTTATAGCTTAATTATCAACCAGTTTTACCTAGTTGTCTTTTCATTTAGATTGATAATGTCCCAGCTTGACTACTAGAATGTCTTTGAAGCAATGTTGAAAAATTTGCTGGAGGTGATGTAAACGGCTTACGGTACTTTACCCTTGTCCACAAATACAGTAATTTATCTTTCTTTTTTTCACAGAAAGCCAGATACAGCCTTCCCAGACTGATCAGGCATGATTTACGTTCGCAAATTCCCCTTTCAGTGCAGTATCTAGTTGCAAATTGAACATGCATTAGACATTTCTTAACTCAGTCTATTTTATCTAAAGCCAGAAGCTCTTTTATTTTTATTTATTTATTTATTTATTTATTTATTTATTTATTTATTTTAAATCCTGTTGATTTAAGATGTAAGGAACTCTATGGCAGAGGTCATAGAAGACAGTGAAGAAGAAGGGGTCCCTAGGAGGGAGCACATTTCTTAAATGTCCTAATTCCATTTTTCTTTAACTGTTTTGTATGTTGTTTTTTTTTTCCCCTGTATGTGTTCCATGACCTAGAAACTAGCTGAAAGGTGAATGGTGGAGTACAGAACTTTTTAGAAAGAGCGAGCCGTGGAGTATAGTAATGACATTTAGTTGATACTACTACTAAAGGTAGTTTAGCCAACTTAAATTGCATCCAGATTTGTGAGATTTTTAAAGCTTTTTGTAGTCCTAGCTGATGATGTATGCGCAAGTACCATGTTTGGTAGCTGTTGTTAGGTCAAATGTGTGGTGGGTATTTGAAGTCTATGGTGCATTCTGAGTTTGGAAGAGAGGAGTTTCAAGTACAGCACTACAAATAAGAATTTTTTAATGAAATGTCTGCATATTAGTAGTTTACTGGAAAATGTAAATTTTGCAACTGAATTTACTGCAATTCGTAGGAGCTGTGGCCTCCATGTTCTGGGTTGATTCTGAGCTGGGAAGTGATATCTATCTTGATGGTAAGACATGCAAATTTTCTAACATATTGACATTCTGTATCTAGATTTAATGTAATGTATTTTTATAGTTTAAGGCAAGGTTAAAGAAAATGTTTGAAATGTCAGAAAATTATTTTGTTTCTCGAATCCCAAAATTTGACCACAGAGATTCACTTACTGATTCTGGTGCTCATTTATCTGACAATGGTGAGCTATTTCAGTTTACTAAATAAAACAAAAGTTGTGTAATGCTTTGCTAAGGGGTCAGATACAGAAACAGTCTTGTGATTGGAGGGATGGAACCCGTCATTAGGTGTTATAAAACATTATTTAGAAGTAATATTAATGCTCTTATTTTTTCAATGTGATGTTTCCTAATTTTTTTTTTTTTTTTTTTTAACTCTTAACCTGTAATCATCTGGTCTCCTGCCTTTTATTTTCTGCTTTTTTTTTGTTGTACTCTGTTAGCTCTAGTGTTTGGCTGTGTTCCAATAAAAATAAGAGTTCACTGTAGTATGAATCATCACTAAATGTAGTTAAAAAGCTTGTTGAATGATGATTTTTTTTTTTATGTAAGCAAAACAGTCTTGTTTTTTGACTTAAAAAAATACCTTGCTAACACTTTGATTAGTCTGTGAAATACCCATCTAGCCAAGCAAACAGTTCAATAAGAAATGGCCTCCTAAGTTTCTGCCAGAGAAATTCTGCAGATTCCTGGTTACTTACAATGAGAATAGCTGCATACCTCAGTCAGTCCCTGTAATTTGTTTCAATAACCTGTAAAATTTGCTTGTTTGCTGTTGTGAAAGAAAGGGAGAGGTATCTACCTTGTAAGAATTTCTCTCACCTGGTGTGATAGACCTTTTTTTTTTTTTTTACACAAATACAAATTACAAATAAGAAAATAATTAGGTAACAAGCCTAATGCTCAGATATACTGCAAGCATTGAAAATATTATAACAAGTTGTAAATGTGATACTTTTATTTTTGTAGTTGTACAGGAAGTTTATAAATTGTTAAATTGTTAAATTCGCCAGACATTTCTATTCCATTTAATGTTCTCTTTTAGGTATTGTGTCGGTTGTTGATGCAAAGCATGGATTGCAGGTAAACTACTGGAATTTTTACATGGTTTAAAACTGCAACATAAGAACAGCTATTGCATAATGTTCATTCAGATGAATTACATTGTTTTACAATAACTTTAATTCTTACAATGAGTGAGGTTGTATTTCACTTGCTATGGTACATTAGTGCTATATTTTGAATGGGAACAAGGAAGTACCAATACTCATAGGAATTCAGATTCTTACCAACACTGCAGCATGTCTACTAAGAGTTCTCAGGATGCTAGATACTTGATTCCTTCTAGTTCCATGACTTCACTTAGAAACTTGGTTGTATTCTAGATAGGTATTTGGATTACTGTAAGAACAGTGGAGAAATGTGCCTTACAGAGTGTCATTGGCCTAAGTTACTTGAAGAGAGACCTCTGAAGAATGGGCCTCTGATACTGATGCGTTAAAGCTCAAATTGGGAAAGCTAATGTAATGGCAAGTGGCGTGTGTGGTCAGGAGAGATGAGAAAACCAGATGTCTAGGTATCATTTCAGATTAGAAGGTTACTTCATTACATGGAAGCAGACAAAAAGAGCAGGTATTAGACTAATCTATATGATACGTAATATAAAAACAGTAAAAGCACATCAATTGAACCGTTAGGATAGCAGAAATGGTGATTAAATCAAATACTTCAACTGTGGTTTGTTTTGGTTTTTTTTTTGGTGTTTTTTTTTTTTGTTTTGGTCTTTTTTTTTTGTAATAGGTAGTAATAAATATAATTATTTGCAACTTAATTGACTTAGGAAGTGATTGACGACTTCAGTTAGGTACTGATTTTGCAGGATTCAAAACAAAAGTGACCATGGGGAAGGGTAAAAAATCCCCAGGGTAAAAAATACCATCATGCTGTGGAACTGTTTTTAATGTCTCTGTAATGTCTGTAAAAAGTTGAGAGAACTGAGGAATAATGGTTAAAAAATATGGAAGTGATCCCTCCTTTGTAATATTTTTTTTGTGTGTGTGGACTGTTTGGATTTCTTGTTTCAGTGGAGGTAATCTAACAGTTGATTTACTGAAAGGGGGCAGTCCTGTCCCTTCACCATTTTGTGTTGCACCGGGATAGAGCTAATGTAACCTCATAGCAAGCCAGTTTGTCAAGTTAAGCCATCATGTTTTGCATGGCCTTCTGTGGAGGAGTTGGTAGAAAATGTAGGGGAGGGATGAGAGCTGGTTTGTGTTTTTAAGCAGGAGCCAACTTTTAAATCAGCTGAACTATCACAAGAAACCACAGCAAGTCTGAAATTACTCCCCTTTTTAGCTGGGTGCCTTCATACTACTTCGGATGTGTTTTATTATTTGTGAAAATGTTGTTCTGTTTATCTTTCTCTCCATGCAATGCTGATTTACTGGTTTCAAGCAAATAAAATCATGTTCCACGCAGCAGCCCTAAATTATAAATGTTAAAAAATTCATGTTTAAGCTTTCAAGTACTGTCAGAGACAGCACAAAAATGTTTTGAAACATTCAGCATTTCTATCCATTGTTATTTTGACAGCTTAATGAAAGTGCTTATGTTATTTAATCAGCACAACACAGACATCTGTTCAGAGTAGCAGAAACTTAGAACTTTTTCTGCCAAGTAAACTACTTTTGCTTTGTATAAAGGACTTGATAACTTGTGCAATTCCTCTGGTTGCAAAGCTTGACCTCAACAGCTGCTTGTGATTCAGAGAATTTTGAAGCCATGCAGGTAATGAGATTGAGGTAACAGGCAGCAGTTTAAGGGTGTCATGCTTCAATTAACCAACCCATTACAAGGAAAGCTGACAAGTAGTACCCTGTGATCAGTCAGCCAATAGAAACTGAAGTGATAACTGATATCATGGATGGATGGGTCACTAATGGATTTGTCACCCAGCAATCTGAAATACTCATTTTATTATTATTTTTTTTAATCAAGGGCAAGCAGTTGAAGTGCCAGTTCTCTGCTTCGCAGACTTGATGTTTGGACAGAACAACAAATCTGACAACATTTAATTCAATAGAATCAATACACAGAGGATTACAAACAAAAAGTCAAAGGAGAGGTTCCCGCCAAGTCATCCTGTTGTTATGCTGTGCTTAGGTTGTGCACAATTAGGAAATAGTTTAGGAGTTTTCTTTTTTTCTTTCTTTCTTTTTTTTTTTTTTTTTCAGGTGACAAACACTATGTAATAGTTTGTTTGGCTTTTTCCAATCAAATAATGTTAGATGCCTGATAATTGCACTTGAGGAAAAAATAGTTTTCTAGTTTCTTTTTAAATTTAAGTATCTCCCTTGACAATTTCATTTTCATTTGGTATTCCTCTGACTTAAAACCAAATTTCAGAACAGCATTCCTGGTATGTTTAGAGCTTATGAAGGAATGCACAGGACTGATCTTCCCAGAGATGTAAGGTGTAAGTTGTGAGCTCTTACTAATGCTACAGCATCAATTTAAATTTTTACTTCCTCCAGGCGCGTGAGATACTAATCTCCTGGAGATTGCTGCCTCCATGGCAGAGTAGGCAGAAAATAACTCACAGAATCATAGAATTAGCTAGGTTGGAAAAGACCTTCAAGATCATCAGGTCCAACCATTACCACAGGTCCAACCATTACCACTAAACCCATATCACTGAGGGACTGATCTTGATCTACATTGTTTTTGAACACTTCCAGGGACTGTGATTCTGCAGCTTCCCTGGGCAGCTTGTTCCAATGCCTGAGCAGCCTTTCAATGAAGAAATTTTTCCTCATATCCAATCTAAGCCTCTCCTGGTGCAGCTTGAGGCCATTACCTCTTGTCCTATCACTTGTTTTGTGGAAGAAGAGATTGACCGCCAGCTCACTACAACCTCCTTTCAGGTAGTTGTAGAGACCAGTATGGTCCCCCATGAGCTTTCATTTCTCCAGCCTAAACAACCCCAGTTCCCTCAGCCTTTCCTCATCAGACTTGTGCTCCAGACCGTTCACCAGCTTTGCTGGCCTTCGGAACAGAGTATTCCAGATGTGGCCTCACCAGTGCTGAGTACAGGGGAACAATCACTTCCTTGGCCCTGCTGGCCACATTATTGTTGATACAGGCTAGGATGCCGTTGGCCTTCTTGGCTGCCTGGGCACAAGCTGGATCATGTTCAGCTTTGTCAGTCAGCACCCCCAGGTCCTTTTTCATGAACAGCTTTCCAGCCACTCTTCCCCAGGCCTGTAGCTTGGTATCCCTCAGGTATTGGTGTTGGGACCGGTCTTATTCAACATCTTTGTGGGTGACATGGACAGTGGGATTGAGTGTGCCCTCAGCAAGTTTGCTGATGACACCAAGCTGTGTGGTTTGGTTGATACGCTGGAGGGAAGGAATGCCATCCAGAGGGACCTTGACACGCTTGTGAGGTGGGCTGATGCCAACCTCATGAAGTTTAACCATGCCAAGTGCAAGGTCCTACACCTGAGTCGGAGCAATCCTAGGCACAGCTACAGGTTGGGCAGAGAAGAGATTCAGAACAGCCCTGCAGAGAAGGACTTGGGGGTGTTGGTCAGTGAGAAAATGCACATAGGACTGCTTCAGTGTGTGCTTGCAGCCCAGAAAGCCAACGGTATCCTGGGCTGCATCAAAAGGAGCGTGACCAGCAGGTCGAAGGAGGTGATCCTGCCCCTCTACTCTGCTCCTGTGAGACCTCACCTGGAGTATTGTGTGCAGTTCTGGTGTCCTCAACATTAAAGGACATGGAACTGTTGGAACAAGTCCAGAGAAGGGCCACGAGGACGATCAGGGGGCTGGAGCGCCTTCTGTATGAAGACAGGCTGAGAAAGTTGGGGCTGTTCAGCCTGGAGAAGAGAAGGCTGTGTGGAGATCTCATAGCAGCCTTCCAGTATCTGCAGGGGGGCTACAGGGATGCTGGGGAGGGACTCTTCATTAGGGACTGTAGTGACAGGACAAGGGGTAATGGGTTAAAACTTAAACAGGGGAAGTTTAGGTAGGATTTAAGGAAGAAGTTCTTTACTGTGAAGATGGTGAGGCACTGCAATGGGTTGCCCAGGGAGGCTGTGAATGCTCCATCCGTGGTGGTGTTCAAGGCTGGGTTGGGCAGAGCCTTGGGTGACCTGGTTTAGTTTGAGGTGTCCTTGCCCATGGCAGGAGTTTGGAACTAGATGATCTTCAGGTCCTTTCCAACCCTAACTATTCTATGATTCTATGAATATGATACAGTGTTTGAACTCTTTAGCATTGTAATCATAAAATTCATTAGAAGAGTTTTCATAAAAGAGATTGTAAGCTTTTGTAATGGTGACTGTATAAATGTGCTTTTCTGCCATCATTTTACAGAAAAATTCTAGATGGACTTCCTTTAATTGGAAATTAATTTAAATGTCATTTGAATATGATTAAGCCAAATATTTTCTATTTTGTCTAGCACTTGACAGAGGAAAAGTCAGAAGGCCTTGTCAATGAAGCATCTCGGTATGGATGTATAAATTAACTTTAAATATCACTGCTAGGAACTGCACTGTATAGAAGTCCCTTATAAATGGCTTCTTTTATAAGGTATTTTTCTCCTCCTTTGCTTTAAACCAAGGTACATTGGTGTAATGAGGTAGAAAATAGAAAAGAGACTTCATGCTCCATTTGGTCTTTTTTCCAACATCTGGCTTTTCTAATATATACTTTCAGAGGAATGGGATTCTATGTAAGTGAAGGGCAACCACCTGTGTTGGGGGGAAGAAAGAAATGCATGCTAGAATCTGTCAGGTGTTCGAAGTAGAACTGGAGCTGGAGGAATAGTTTTTTTGCTAGATACGGAGCCGCAGTGGTTAAGGATAATTATAGCAATAGAAGTCTTCATGAAGCAAAGAGACTTCAAGTATGACTTTACAAAGACTACACACAAGTGAAATAGGGGCTTGTAAAGTTCATGAATTATCAGGAGTTTTGGATTGGATCACATTTTAAAAAACAAATCCCCCAAAACTAGCAAGTAAGTTAACAGATTTCTGGCACAGAAGAGCACTTCAAGGAGAAGCCAGTAATACTTTATTCACACTCATGATGTGCTAGTTTGATTAATACTTGCCTTTCTGTACTGGCAATACTCATACTGGGTTTTTTTTGGGGCACTGTGAGAGAGATGGTATTTCTGCCTTACAGAAAAAGTATTTATTTGTTCATGTTGTCTTTTTTTTTAATTTTTTTATTTTGTTCCTTAATAAATAGGCAGGTTGCATTAGCTGATCTTATCATCATCAATAAAACAGATTTGGTTTCAGAAGAAGAGCTGAATAAAGTCAGAACATGTGTCAGGTATGAAGCTTTTGGCGTAACTGTTAACACTTTACTGGATCAAAGGTTATTTTTATTTAAACACAGTTACTTCTTTATTGCTGTTAATACAGAATTAGGTCTCACAACTGACACATATTGTTAGTTCAGAAGGGACAAGAGTCTGTCCCTTTCTAAAGGCATTTAAATACTTTTCTTTGCGTACATAATTTTATCAGGTTGTCTCTCTAAGCTGTCTAGCTGCCTTAGCTGTCTAGCTAAGATTTAATGTTACTAAGGACAGGCCTTTGTATTATGTGCCCACATTTTTACATTTGTGGGCAGCTGTTCTTATTTTTCAGAATTAGCATCAGGTCAAAAAAGAAGAAAGTTCTAGCAGATAAAGAATTCACTAGGAAATGCAAAGGTATATGGAGGAAGTCCCAAAAAATTGTCATGGGTACAGAAAAACCAATGCTGTGAATCAAATTAGGGATCAAAGACATGCCCTATCTTTTTCTGTCAATACCATGATAACCAAAATATACTATTAACACTTTAAAATACATTACAACTTCATTGATAGTTGAATTCTAAAAGTAAAATGCCTAGACCCAACAGAGTGTATCATGAGAAGTCTTGAAGAAGAAAATGCTATTCACTCCAGTAGTATTTTGTCAGAACTTGTAAAGTGCCCCAGCCTTTACTTAGGAAATGAAAAAGTCTCAAAGCCAAAGTAGTTTGGGATGTTTGTTGGTTTGTTCAACAAGTTGATAACAGGAGTGGTGTTATTATTGTGGTGCTATTTCTCATGCTACTTTCCATGGTTAATTTGTTCAAACAATGTATTCTAGTTGCATTTTCATCTAAAGATTTTTCTATTTTATTTTAGGTCAATAAATGGACTTGGTAAAATTCTAGAGACACAAAGATCAAGGTATTAAATGGCCACTATTACTAGGTACTAAATCCTGCTGCTTTTGTGACAGATTTAATTATGCTATTAGATCAGTTTTCTTAAAGGAAAACTATTAAGTTAGAAATATTTAATATTTATTTTACAAATAAGCATCTAGATAGAGGATTTTTTTTTTAAAGTAAAAATGTATTTTTCTTTTGTATTTTTCTTTGCTACTGTTCGTATTGTACACTTTAGTGTATGTTTAAAGAAAGATCCCTACTAATATGTAGCTTAGTTTACAGAGCTAATCAGTAGTGGGTTTTAGTTGACTTTGCAATGTGACTGTAAACATTTCTATATTTTTTAGTTACATGAGAAGTGGATTTTACAAAAGCTTGGGCTTTATATCCCCCCCCCCATTTTGTTCTAAGTCTTTTTATGAATATGGCTTTCAATTATTAAAGTTATATTTTAGTTATATTGCCATTCATGGAGTGATAGCATTTGGAAAGTTCCTGAAAAATGCTAATACAGGTGAAGTTTAATTTGCTTCAGCATTTTTCTGAAATGTAGTCAGTTTTTAAGGGAGTGTTAAAAGTAGAAATTCAAAGTTACTTGCAACTTGTTAATAAGATAGCAGCTTGCAAAGCTAAGTTGTCTCTGAGCTGATCACTAATCACATGCCCTATGAAGTTTTCTTTCTGTTGTGTCAATTGGAGGGTTTTTCTCACGGTGGTTCCTGCAAATAAATTGTTACTACAAAATTACCTTGAAAGCAGTGCACACAAGTTTATAAGAAGGAAAAGTAATTGTTTTGCTGTTTTTCATTGAAATTCTGAATCAGATTTTTTATTTAAAAAAAATTAAATAGGGTATTCCTAGGCATATTAGGAGATCAGTGTGTCTTTCAGACTGCTGGGGCTAGTTTGCATACTGTTACATGAAATATTTGACTATATTAGCATAAACTTTCCTATAATAAAATTTCCTGCTTTTAAGCTATTTTGAAGGGAAAATAGTAGACATAATCTTGGTAAAATACACTTGGCTTTTTAAATATAGTTGGAAATGGCAGAGAAAAATATTTGCTCTGCTATTGCCTGATTAGATAGGTCTGGTTGAAGTAGTGACGGTCAGTGGCAGCCTGGGCTGCAGTGACCATGAGATGGTGGAGTTTAGGATCTTGTGTGGGAGGAATAGAATACCTAGCAAGGCCACATTTCTGGATTTCCGAAGGGCAAACTTTGGCCTCTTCAGTCAATTGCTAAGGGAATTATCATGGCAAAGGGTACTAGGTGGTAAAGGGGCTCAAGATAGTTGGTCAGCATTCAAGGACCACTTCTTCAAAGCTCAGGATCAGAGTGTCCCAGTGAGTAGGAAGTCAAGTAGGGGAGCCAGGAGACCAGCATGGTTAAACAAGGAACTGCTGGGCAAACTCATACAGAAAAAGAATCTATGGATTATGGAAGGAGGGGCTGGCCACTTGGGAGGAATATAGGACAGCTGTTAGAGGATGTAGGGAAGCAATTAGGACAGCTAAGGCCTCCTTGGAACTTAATCTGGCAAGTCAGGTCAAGGACAATAGAAAGGGCTTCTTCAAATACATAGTGAATAAAACTAACACAAGAAGCAGTATAGGCCCACTGCTGAATGAGGTAGGTGCCCTGGAGACAAAGGATATAAAGAAGGCAGAGGTGTTGAATGCCTTCTTTTCCTCTGTCTTTACTCCTGCAGACTCTCCCTGGGGGACCCAGATTCCTATAGCCCCAGAAGGAGTCAGGATAAAGGAGGAGTTTGCTTTGGTAGATGAGGATTGGGTTAGGGATCAGTTAAGTAATCTGGACATCTATAAATCGATGGGTCCGGATGGAATACACCCGTGGGTGCTGGGGGAGCTGGCAGAGGTCATTGCTGAGCCACTCTCCATCATCTTTGGTAAGTCGTGGGAAACAGGTGGGGTGCCTGAGGATTGGAGGATGGCAAATGTCACGCCGGTCTATAAGAAGGGCAAGAAGGAGGACCCGGGTAATTATAGACCGGTCAGCCTTACCTCCATCCCTGGAAAGGTGATGGAACAACTTATTCTTGACACCATCTCTAGACATATCAAGGATGAGGGGGTCATTAAGAGCAGCCAACATGGCTTTACCAAGGGGAAGTCATGTTTGACCGACCTTACAGCCTTCTATGAGCAAGTAACTAGGTGGATGGATGATGGTAGAGCGGTAGATGTGGTTTTTCTTGATTTCAGTAAGGCATTTGATACTGTCTCCCACAGCATCCTCATAGATAAGCTAAGGAAGTGTGGGCTTGATGATCAGGTAGTGAGGTGGATCAAGAACTGGCTGGAAGGAAGAAGGCAGAGTTGTGGTCAATGGGGCAGAATCTAGCTGGAGGTCTGTGACTAGTGGAGTCCCTCAGGGGTCGGTGCTGGGACCAGTGCTGTGACCAGTGCTGTTTAATATTTTCATCAACGACCTGGGTGAGGGAACTGAATGTACCCTCAGCAAGTTTGCTGATGATACTGAACTGGGAGGAGTGGCTGACACACCAGAGGGCTGTGTTGCCATCCAGCGAGACCTGGACAGGCTGGAGAGCTGGGCGGAGAGGAACTTCATGAAATTCAACAAGGGCAAGTGTAGAGTCTTGCATGTGGGGAAGAACAACCCCATGTACCAGTACAGGTTGGGGGCTGACCTGCTGGACAGTAGCGAAGGGGAAAGGGACCTGGGGGTCCTGGTGGATAGGAGGATGACCATGAGCCAGCAATGTGCCCTTGTGGCCAAGAAGGCCAATGGCATCCTAGGGTGCATTAGAAAGGGTGTGGTTTGTAGGTCAAGAGAGGTTCTCCTCCCCCTCTACTCTGCCTTGGTGAGGCTGCATCTGGAATATTGTGTCCAGTTCTGGGCCCCGCAGTTCAAGAAGGACAGGGAATTGCTTGAAAGAGTCCAGCGCAGAGCTACAAAGATGATTAAGGGAATGGAACATCTCCCTTATGAGGAGAGGCTGAGGGAGCTGGGACTCTAGCTTGGAGAAGAGGAGACTGAGGGGTGACCTCATCAATGTTTACAAATATGTAAAGGGTGAGTGTCAGGGTAATGGAGCTGGGTTTTTTTCAGTGATGTCCAGTGATAGGACAAGGGGCAGTGTGTGTAAACTGGAGCATAGGAGGTTCCATGTGAACATCAGGAAAAATTTCTTTACTGTGAGAGTGACAGATCACTGGAACAGGTTGCCCAGGGGGGTTGTGGAGTCTCCTATGTTGGAGATATTCAAGGCCCGCCTGGACAAGTTCCTGTGTGATGTACTCTAGGTTACCCTGCTCTTGCAGGAGGGTTGGACTAGATGATCTTTTGAGGTCCCTTCCAACCTCTAGGATTCTGTGATTCTGTGATTCTGTGACCAGCAAGTAGAATATGTATTTTGTTTGGTAACTCAGGGTTTTGAAGACAAATGTTTATCTGCTTTCAATCTAAAGATCAGCTCAGTTTACATTACCAAAAATATTAATCTTGTTAATGTTTCTATTGGCTTTAACTTATTCTGATCACTGGAATGTTTATGCTCTTTTTGAAAAGATGCACTATGAAAATCATTCTCTTTAGTGATTATCCTGTTAGTGTATAAGGATTATGCTCATATTGTTTTCATTACTTTCTTCGAGGAGCCTTGTGAAACGTTTGAGTAGGTTTGACAACTTCACACCGTATTCTTGTTAACTTGCAAACTGTTAAAGAATGAGCAGTATTATAAATCATAAATTCTGCTACTGAGAAGTCATTTATTGTTCTTCTAGAGATCCTCAGTAAATAATTTCTCATAAGTCATCATGTGTCTCTTACATAAAAAGTAATTTTCTTCAATATATTTATTATCATCTGGGACTTGTGTTCAAAACAGCAGGTGTGGATAAACTTGTGAGCATTACTTGAAATCAAGGTTTTAATGTTCACCATTTTTTTTCATGTTTTAATGTGTAAATAGTCACTCTAGGTTATTCTGCGAAATTTAGACTTTTGTTACTTTGTCCTCTTATGTAAATTCAGTATTACTATAGTATTTCATAAAGTTGTTGTATTAGAATAATGCTACTGTCATTTTTCTCTGTAAAGAGAGGTGAGAATGCTTGAGGACTCCACGTTAAATTTAACCAGGAATTTGTTCTTATGGTAAATCCTGGATATTTACTCATAGCTAATCTTGCAATATCAAAATTTGTCTATCTTATTTTTGAGACTACTATTATTTACAATTTTTGTGACATCTGTACAGTGTGGAGTTTTTGCATCTAATGTATGTACTTGGAGTGCAGCCTGAATGATTGAAAGACAAAACAACAAATACTGCAATGGGATGGATTTGAAGAGATACCTTTGTAGCATTTAGAATTGAAATTCTTAATAGTAGCACTTTCTTTATAGCATATTTCAGTTTTGTTTGCTAATAGCATGTCAGTATAAACTGCATATATTCCAGGGGTTTGTGTTTTGAGAGGGTCTGTATTAAGGATGGAGAATAATTGCTGGGAAGAACTTCAGGGTTCCTTTTCCCATTTAGGGAAAATCAGTTATTCAGGCATCCATTATGAGCGATTTTATCATCTTCCTTGGAAATACCTTGGTTTTTACTATATTTTTAAGAATAATGTTTTTGTGCTTATGTATTATTGTGTAAATAAGCACTGCCATTTCCTTGTAGGAGACAGTACCATCCACTAACATTCAAAAATAAGTCTAAGGATTGATGGCATTGGTATGATAGACAGGAAAACTAATATAAGCTTCAGTAAACCATTTCAAAAATAATTATTTAACTATGCACAATATTTAAATACAGCAAAAATACAAATCTTGCTTTCTTTCTTCTGTTTAGAGTTGATCTTTCCAATGTCTTGGACCTGCATGCTTTTGACAGTTTATCTGGAGTAAGGTATGGTAATAATTTTGCTGTGCTGTCCTGTGTTAGAAATAATGTCTGTTTGTATAAATACATGCCTGAAATACATGGCTCAAATTTCCATCTGGGTTTCTTAGAAATTCTAGCTTTCTCACTTGTTTAAAATTCTCCCTTTATAAGTGGTAATCTGTTTTTTTCCCACTTGTGTGCATAAAGGTTTTTTGACCTTGTAAAGTTAGATGAGCCAGAGTGTGCGTGGGTGGTTGGCTTTTTCCCCGGTTAAAGTTTTGCTTTGATACTAGTATTAGAGTAGTTTATACGCTCTCCACTGTTTCTCTTAAAGTACTTAAAAGTTTTCTCACTTCATGTCATGATGGCCTTGAGGCCTCCTTAGTTTTTAGAGAAAAGAGTGAGGGACTGAGGTTCAACAGCAGACAAAGCCACAACAAATTCTGGTTACTGTGTTCTATGTTCTTGTTTCTTTTTTAATGCCTAATGTGTGTTTCAGCATGCTAGAGGGTGGAAAAAATAAAATTGGAGGTGAGGGGAGAAGGGCTTTCTGTTTACTTCGTGTGCTGAAGTTGTTCAGCAAACAGAGCAAGGATTACTGGAGAGATCAATAAAGGAGGGAATATGTAACTGGGGGCAGTATCAGCTTTGGTTTTCTTCCTGGATGCACAGTGTTCACTTCAGGTGAAGGAATGTAGCCACTTCCTTATTTACAGAAGGAAGAACTTGCAGAAGATGCAAGCTAGTAATCTCTAGTAGATGGGGTGCGCTCGTGGGATTTCCCAGTGAAGTGGTGCAGTACTATCCTTGCTCTCTGCTGCCCTTTCTGTTTGCTGGCACTGGCTTTTGAATGATTTGTGAAAAGTACTGTTTGAAGAAAGTTAAGGGAGGAGGAAGGCCAACATATTTTTCATGGACAGTAGATAACTGTTAGGTCATAAACCAGATCATAAACGTCCTGAGTTCTTATGATGGATCAGGTAGCTAAACTGACTCATCCTGGAACCACACAACACAGAGAAAGCATTAAGAAGATGTGAACCAGAGAAGGATCGTTCTTGATAATGGCAATTCGCAGTTAGATGTGATTAGCTGTAATACTGGATGGCATTCTGCAAGGTTTACTAGGAAGTGCTGTGCTCTGCAAATCTCAGAAAGTCCTTAAAGAGTTAACCAAAAAACCCCACAACCTTTCTTGCTTTCCTCAGTCTATTCTCACTTACCTCACTCATAGTTCCTTTAGAGGTTCTCAATATTTGGTATTAAAACAATGCAGCATTTAAAGACAAATTCTGGGAGCACCAAGAAGGTTGTGGACTGTTTAAGTGAAGTTCTATTTCTTTCGTTTTTATTGGACCTCTGTACAGTTTTAAATTGTTTACCCTGGTATTAGTTCATGTACAGAAATCCCTGCCTGAAATATTAAAGGTGTTTTCTGCCCTATCAAATGCAGCAGAAAAACTCTTTGAATCCAGCACCATTTGAGCACAAATAATATGCTAGTACACTAATAAAATTGTCCTTTTAACTGCATATTACAGAAAGGATTTCTGTCAGCAGGTACAACATCCTGTTGTTGTGACTGTACTGGTAGAACCTAGTACATTGCACATGCTCTGAAGTGACAGGAAGCACATCAAGAGTTCTGGATTTTGTGGAATGCAGTATGAAAAAAGTAAGGCAAAAAACCCGAAGAAGATGCAAGAAGCAGGAGTGTATAAATGTTACTTCAGTAACAGTCATTACCTTTTCCACCATCATTGAAGGCTTCTTAAAAATTTACAGTCATCAAAGTAGAAAGAGATTTTTATGGGCAATCTTTCCTGAGAGCACCATAGTGACTTTGCTGGGGTATTCTTTCTTCTGCATATTGGACATAAGAGAGGAATGTTCTTTGGTGCAGAAAACAGTATTTGAAGAAATCTTGCGCTGTCTTGCTTAAAGATGGATGTGGTTGTACAATCTAAAGTTGCAGTAACTTTTTATGTTGTCACACAAAATGATACTGTAAGAGCCTGGATCTTAGTTTACAAAAAACGTCCCCAAGTTCCTTTATGAAGTAAAGAGGAGTTTTAAATTTATGAATTTATGAAGTCCCCAAGTTCCTTTATGAAGTAAAGAGGAGTTTTAAATTAGCAAGCACACTGCACAGGAGGAATGAGCTGTATGGCAAGAGTTGAAATGGAAGCTGATATATAGGATTCCACTTCCTGCTACAGCTTTGACATTTTTTTTTTTGTCTTTTCAGATCATTTTCCTAGAGTTGGTTCTTTTTCTGTGGGCTTTTTTTTAAATCAACTTCTAATAAATTGACAAATTCTTGCTCTCACGATATAGTTTGGCTGTTGTTCCTATACAAAGAAATATCAAGGCTGTTGTACTTCTGGAAGTGTTTATATTTAAAATCCCAAAGATACTGCAAGTTGTCACTAAAATCTAATAGTATTTAAAAAAATAACATTCTAACGCAAATGATCAACTAGGTCAAACCAATATAGCTAAACATCTGTATTTTGAGATTAAAATTGAATTAACATTTGAGGCTTATTCTGAGTGTGCAGTCTAGATTTTTTAGTTTAGATCTGTTTTAGTTTTGCTTTTCAATACTGCTGAGTGTTTATGAAATGACATTTTGTCTATCCCACTCAAACATGACATTTAACTTCTTTTCAGTTTGCAGAAAAAGCTGGAGCTTCTGAAGACAACACATGCACATCTAGACAAGGTAATTAGCAAAAATACTGCTTCATCTTTTTGTAACAACCTTGTTAGAAGGTTGAAGATTTCAATTGGGAAGTAATGTGTTTTAAGATCTTTGGAAGGTTATATAGAATACAGACAGGAATGTGCTTTGTTGTAGATTTGTTTGCTGCTTTATTTTTGAAATCTATTCCTACATATTCTATTTATAAAAAAAATTATGATAGGCAAGTATGGATAGTAAAAAAGATGTTGATTATTTTCTGTCCGTTAGAATTGTGATGAAGATCAGAAATTGTGACAAAGATCAGTATCCCAAGAAAATAAAATTCTTAAACATATTTGAATGAATGAGCTTACTAGCTTTAAATTAAAATTCTTAGGCTTTCTTTGAGAACAGACATCAACTACAGTGAAGAATTATATGGTAAAAGCTAAAGGCATTAAACCATGCAAAGTGGTGTGTATGCCTCTTGAGTGCACCCCCAAACAGAACCAGATAGTATTACATAATATAGCAATTTGGGGCAAGATGGAAGTGGATTGTTTGGGTTTTTTGTTTTTTTTTTTTTTAATTTCGCATGGGTATATAGTTGCTTTTTTATTAGGCCAAGTTAGGAAATGTAATTAATTAATGTAATTAATGTAGTGAAATACGTAGTCAAGTTGGTAATAATAACTGGGCCTTTCTATTTGCAGGGTATAATTACAGTGACATTTGAAGTTCCAGGAAATATAAAAGAAGAAAACTTAAACCTTTTCATTCAGGTAAGTAATACATCACTGTCAATGGAGAAGTCATTGTGGCTGTTTATAAAAAATCATCCCATGCCATTCTGTTTATGAAAACATTTTTCCTTTTCATAGGATCTTCTGTGGGAGAAGAATATGAAAGATAAGAGTGGGCACACCATGGACATCATAAGACTGAAAGTTAGTCAGAAATGGCCAATTTCTTTATGCTTTATCTCCGTTACACCTAGAAAACTATGGTGTGTTGTCAGTTACAGACTTATCAAAAGCATTACTGGATCACTGTAGTAGTGCAGATAAAATGGAGAACAGTAGTTTGTTGTTGTTCCGTGTAGAAAGAGTTAGTTATCTGCTGGCTGGTGGAACAACTCAAAAGGAGAAAGCTGACAGAGAAGCAAACATTGATCTTACTTGTTTAGAATTGAGAGGGAAGATACACAGTCCTAAACATCAGTGGCAGAGGTAATAATCAGGACATAGTTAAAACAGTTTTCTGTTTCCACCTCTATTGCTTTGAAAGGTTCCATCCATCTCACATAAATGTCTCCTTATCTAGGGATTAGGTACTGTAGATTGGTTGCCATATATTGCTATTTGTAATTGTTGTTGGCATAATATGCCGAAGTTGAATTTGGCATAACATAGCAGTGCAGTACTAGTTGTGGTATACACTTACAATTTCTTGTAATTCAAGACGTATTGTAATTCAGAAAATTGTCAGCCTGTAGTTCTAAAGGTGCAGCCTGTAAGTATTCATCTTCATGGGTGCTTCAAATGTTTTTTCAGTTCGCATGGTTTTGAGAGGAGTACAGGTGACAATGTAGGATATTTTTGTTTTCCTTACACCAAGTAGCCGAGTAAATCATTAAAAAATAAGAATTGAGTTTGTCATTTAGTAGGCTGTAAGGAATACAAGAAAATACACTCTGGTTTGCTTTCTGAGGACACTTGTGCATCATGGATAGTGACATATTTATTTTAATATCATTGGAAGAAAGGTTGTATTCTTGCTTTTTCACTAACAAAATGGGAATATCCTTGTCTTCCCTTTCCTGACAAATAGAAGAAAATAGCCACTGATGCATCTTAAGCCATCTGAAAACAGTACTGCTATGCATAATAACATTTTTTATTATTTTATTGAGCATTGGAATCACAGAAATTCTGTAGGAGATCTGAGGCCTGTAATAATCAGTGTGCTTGCTCTCAGTCACATACAAATACACTAAAGCAAATGAACCGCACATAATTATGAGTGGGTTCCAAAGTTTGTTGCTTATCTTACCTGCAGTCATAACCATTTTGGTGGTAATAGAAAATTTCAACTAATATGTCAAATGCAGGCCCTTTTTTTTATGAAAGATTTTTAATTCTTTTTTTTTCTTTTTTTTTTTTTCAATTTTATAAGCATGTAAGATAGTTTTATAGAATGTGTTCCACTAAAATATTTTATGAAGTTGTGCATGAAGTGATGAAAACTTTTTAATGCAGCTTTTGGTATTTAGGTTAATGAGCTGACTCTTGACAGTATGCACTTCTAATTCTATTGCTAGTTGGTTTACTTCACAAATGTTTGTTCATTCTCCAGTATTCAGGGATTCTGATTCAGTATAATGAATGTGCTGACTATGGCAGCTTATTCAGAATAATGTGAAGTCAAACATTTTTGCTCATTTTACATCATCTTTTTTTAGTAGTCAGTCAGGTACTCATGTGTCAACCACCATATATATATATATATATTCCAAATGTCACAGTAGCTCATGACATTTTATTTTTGCTCAGAAATGCAGGTACTGACCAAATGAGGAACAGGAGGCAGAGTATGGCAAAGAGTAATGATTAGTCTTTAATAAAATAAAGAGATGTGAGAATGGTGGATGTTACAACTAGACATGATCATACTACATGGTTATTTTGACTAAAACTGGTGCATAGTTGCCAGAAATATTTTTCCCTGCTTGGCCTAGTTTCAAAGCTGGGCATTTTTTCCATATTTCCAAAATATTTCATTTTAAAGATTTATTTATGTATCCTAACAGTTATTTTTCTGATAAGGGACTGGTATCTATTCAAGGCAAATCTCATCAGGTGATAGTCCAAGGTGTCCATGAGCTCTATGATCTAGAAGAGACTGCAGTACCCTGGGAAGAAGGCGAAAAGAGAACAAATAGACTGGTCCTAATAGGTAGGAAGAAATTACATATCTCTTCATTTGACTTTAAGAAGCTGTTCTTTCAGAAGGTAGTCCTGTGACTTGTCCAGTGAAAAGCAACTGGCCTAAACTGACCAGAATAATAGCAGTGAGTATGTTCAGCACAACCTCCAGTCAAAGTTTTATCCATCAAGACCTCTTGCTGTTTTATATTGTAGCTGAGAGGAATCGACGGTATTCCTTTTGGTGACACTAAAATAAAAATCCATAATCATATATTTGGTGATGGGAATGGTTTGAATGTTTGAGCGAATATTCAGTAGCTCTAAGGTGATTATAGCCATTAAAATGTATAAAATATGTTTTTTTTTTCTGTAAAGCTGTACAGAGGCCAAGGCTGTACATTTCTATTTCCTGCTTACTACTCTTTGCTTTGCAAAGTGTTTTTATGACCAGAAAACTCCAGTTTGTCCTCTTTTCCCTTAGTTGCACAGCTTGAAGTCTGTTGTTGCCTGTAAAAGCTAAAGTTACTTTGTTACCTGCAGCTTAATTTTAATACTGCTGTTCTCACTCATTGGAATAATAAATATTTTGTTTGCTGAGAAGACTGGCAGATTGCTACTTGCATGCATTTTTTTTTTTAATACATTGTAAAATAAAGTTAACTAATTTATTTTTCTTTACAGGCAGAAACTTGGATAAGGAGGCAATCAAAGAAGTTTTCGTATCCACTGTCATGGTTTAAGCCCAGCGGGTAATTCAGCACCCTGCAACCATTCTCTCTCCTCCCCTTCTCTCCCCTGCTGCGGGTGGGATGGGGAGGAGATTTGAAAGAATATAAACCCCACAGGTTGGGATAAGAACAAAATCCGAAGTGTAATACAAAACCACTACTACTAGTAATAATGATAAGGGAAATAACAAGGGGAGAGAATATAAAACTAAAAAGGGGGAAAAAAAGCAACCAACAGTAAACAAAAGTGATGCACAATACAGTTGTTTCCACCGATACCCAGCTCAACTCAAGCAGCAATCTGATCTTTCGAGTGACTCCCCACAGTTTATATACTGGGTATGACGTGCTGTGGTACCCTTTTGGCTAGTTCGGGTCAGGTCTCATGTCTCTGTTCCCTCCAGGCTTCTCATGCCCCTTTTCACTCGCAGAGCATGGGAGACTGAAAAGTCTCAGGTGAGATCAGGGTTAAGCATTACTGAGCAACAGCTAAAACACCAGTGTGTTATCAACGCTGTTCTCAGACTAAAGCTGAAACTCAGCACTGCACCAGCTACTAGGAAGGAGAAAACTTACAGCTGAACCCAGGACTGTCACAGTGAGAGAGAAACAAAGAAATGGTTGACATCAAACTACAAAAAAGATGAAATGTGTGTACTTAACCCTGCAAGACTTTTATGACGAAAAGACTGAATGAAATGCAGTATAGCAGTTTCTTTTTCCTCTTTCAGTTTACGCAACAGTTAAACCCTGACGTCCTTCTAAGAATCTCAGGTGACCTGCTGTAGGACCTCTTATAGTCTATGGTCAAACACAAAGAACTCAACATTTTGGATCTGGCTTAAAGTTCATTGAATCATAGAATCACAGAATACTTGGGTTGGAAGCAACCTTCACAGGTCCTCTAGTTCAATCCCCGAGTTACATCAGTAGCATCATGTACCTGTGCAGAAATGCAAATAGGAAAAAGGCTGTTGACTGTGCTGTGCATCAAGTGTTACATAGGAGTATGGTAAACTTGGTTGAAGCCTAGTGCCTTCTTCCAGCTAACTCTCTTACTGCTGGAAATGAAGCAACAGTGATTATTGCAAGTGATGTAATCACAGTAAAAAGTGTTTAGAGTTTACTATTAAACTGTCTTCCATCTCTCTGGACTTACTTTGTGGTTTGTTGTTTTTTTTTTGAATGCGTACATCCATCTCAGGTACCACTAAACCAGCAGAAATACTAAACCTGTTGTATAAATGAAACTAAAAATTCTTAATACTGGAGACAACATGGAATATATACTGTCTGTATAATAGCTGTGAGTGCAGTGTTCACTCCCATAGCCAAGTGTTGAAAGATGAAGCTGTACTCATAGATTTTCTAGGCCATGACCCTGCCGGTTCTGGGTTTTGGGGCCTGGCAGCACTACATTCTCAGTCTGTTGTCTAGGCTGCCCTGTGTGATTTGTTAATGGAGTTCTCTGACGCTGCTTCTGAATGCTGTTTTGAAAATTTAGTTTGAAGCTTCTATCTCTGCTTGTTACTTCTACAGTTTAGAGCTGAGTTTCCTGCCCTGTACCTTCTCTGATAGCCACTGTTCACCTCTAAGCTTTAGAGAGATTTGTTGACTACAGCTGAGTTAATGCAAAGTGAATGAATATAAAAGGATAAGATGGAATAAAAAACATTTCAGAACAATTCTAGGGCATGTAGCAGATTTGAAGAACAGACTTTTAGCTGTAGTGCCACATGGATGCTGCTGTGTCTGGATAAGTAGGAATTTGTTTCAGTACTAGAAGTATGTTGTCACATACCTGACATTTGCTTTAGTAAGAGAGGTGCATCAAAATGAAAAGGAGACAAAGGAGGCCATTCCCTTATCAGCAGTCCTAAAAAACTTCTTTTTTGCTCCTGCCATCATAAATGAGTTTGGAGTTTGTTTCCAAAGAGGAGAGGGAGGAGACATTGCTAATCTGTCACTGCCAGGACCTGGTGTCTCATTTGATTAAGATGGGTGTATTGTTGAGTGATGTTGTGACTGTTTCCCTTAGCAATTGCATCTCCTCATTTTTTTGAAAACTAATACATATTCTAATGATACATGTTTTGGATTGCGTAAATGACATTTAGTCCTGCATGAAAATTAGTCAAGTAATTGCCTTCCGTGTTAGGGATTGAGTTACAAATGTTGTGTAAATGCAAAATTGCAGATAATACATTTTTATTTGTTGCTGCTTGTATTTCCGTTTGTCTTACAGAAAGCAGTCAGATACCTTCTATCTTATAAATGCCTCGTATAATTGAAGAACTGTTTAGAAACATTAGTGTCTGAAGTGCCCAACTGATCATTCATTTTCCATTTGAAAAAAGTTCAGAGATTTAACAAGAGCTTCAGCCACGAGGCAGATAAGCCATAGATGGCTAAACATTTGCTGTTTGTCATAGCTTAGGTAATTATTTTTTATATTTTCTCACCGACCACATACTCCAAAATTCCCATGCGAACCGCTGGTAGACTGGAGTTTCTTTGTTTCTATAATGGGGCACCTGCATCTGGGCATTGTCTATATGTCTCCTGTTGCTATTATTCTTCCTCCCTAGGACTTCCCTGCACTGCTTGCAGCAGTAGCATCAAAGAAGCTTCAGTCAGTGTGCACATCTGTTTCTTGTCTCCTGTGTATTTCCATGGATCCCAGTGACAGTGCAAACATTTCTGTCCTTGCTGACTCTCAGGATATCTCCTTTGCCTTGTCTTCTTCCATTCTCTTTGCCAAACTGTTTTCAGATACTTGATGGACGGAAGGGTGGAAAACTGCCAGGGGCTATTACAGCAGATACACAACACCTTCTGGCTCTTTCGGATAAGATGAAAAAAAGGTGGTTTGGACTTTGCCTGGGTTCTATGGGGTTTAGAGTCACATGTACCAGGGTGTTCGTATTCCTGTGAGTGCAATTTGCTGAAGAAAAAACTGTGTGTGGAACTGGGAACAAGACCACTGTGAAGCATCCAGTGCTTTCGAAGATGGTATTTTTGCTTGCTAGTCTACAGGGCCTGTCCTCTCTACACACCCCTTTACAGTACTGGGTATCAATAGAGATGATGGCAACTGGAAGGGCAAAATAAACAGGATTGCCCTACTATTCTTGGGTGTAAATCCTCACAAAGCTTCCTGTGGCAAAGGGCTGCTGGCAGCATGGGCAGGGATGCTGGGCTGGGGCCATTGCTCAGAGGGGATTCAAGCACTCTACCCACTGCTGGTGATTTTAGGTGATGAAACATTATCCCTGAGGCAGCACAAAAACCTACAGTGCAGCTGTATGGGTGAAAACTTGAGGAGGATTTGTGCTACAGTGCAATATAGGAACATATCCATAGGATGTGTACGTGTCCACAGCAAGGAAAGGTGGGGGGAGGAATATCTTGGAGGAAGGTGATACCAGATGATTGGCAGTTCAGCTGAAATAGATGGGGTCAGCATGGGTAGGGAGGGGCTACCGGGATGCCAGTCTGCTGCTTCTGCACCCCAAGAAACACCCTCTGTCAACAGGTCATAGTTAAGAATAAAGGAGTACAAGCCTGGTGTGACTGGGATGGAGTGCATGGATTTGTCACCTGTGGTGGAAAGGGGACAACAGTGGGAGGAACTCGACTCGCCTCCCATTGGGGATCACACCATGGGGAGTCGTATGTCAACTAAACCAGTGGCAACCCCCCGTGAGAAGTCCTATACAAGGGCTTCATGTCAATAGGACTACAAATTCCTGTTAAAGCTGAGGCAGGCCCCCAGCTCCCTGCAGCCCTGGAGCTGAAGTGGTTAAATGCAAGTTGGGGGCCACTGCGTGACCCTCGTTTCACCGCAGCAAAGTGCAGGATGCTGCTGACATCAAAGGCAGTAAGTAGGTCAGCTAAAACTTGGGCTCGCATTATGCACAAGATGGCCAAGTCTTGCGTCTATCCATGTCACCCTGCAGTATGGCACTGCCATGGGCAGTTTTGTACTGAGTGTGCAGGGCCTTAGGGCTGAGGTTCGACATGCCTGGTCTGGCTGATCCTTAGTCTGTGTTACTTGGTTTATCTGTGACAGCAGTTTATCTAACCACTGAGGTGTCTATTGCTAATTAGTTTTACTTTTTTATCCTTGTATGTTACTACCATAGATTTTTTTAGAGCTAGCGGCAACAAGCCACCATTCTGTGTAGAATGAGGTATTTATGGCTGTAATGTAATGATTCAGCATGGAGATGATTGATACAGTATATGTGGCCTTGAGAAGTGGAGACAACAATGTTGTGTAAAGGAGTACAGGCGTGGGGTGATAAGAGATGGGGCACAGGCTTAGCACTGGGATCCTACTGCTATAAACAATTGACTTGTGGTGAATTAAAACAGTGCAGATCTAGATAAAACTGGGTTTAAAGGTAAAAAAATGAGAACAGATTCCTGGTATCTAGGATTTTTAAATGTATATACTTCCTTATCTGGACCTTTAACATGTCAGCTGCATTTTGAAGTGGGAGTATGTTAGATTCTGCCGATTTAGCTAACATGGTAAAGGCAATGGTAGGGCTGTGTTTAACATGTGGGACAGTCAGATAAAGATGTATTATATTGCACCATGGGTGAAAGCAAACGTTGGTTTGTCTTGTATCAGGAGCATGTGTTTTATAACTGGCACTCACATACACAGAAAAATACTTCAGTTTATTGTGCTGACTGTACCTGTGATGCAACAGAGGCAGTGGAAAGGCCAGTGGTTTTATATGAACCCTGATAACCGTTGTTTTTTAAAACTAATTTTTATGAAATATTATTATATAACATTATTAATAATAATATAGTATTAAATTATTTTTAAACTATAGGCTGTTATACAGCAAATGTTTCTTTTTTTTTTTTTTTTTTTTTTTTTAATCCTTCACAAGTCCTTGAGGGTTCAAACTTCATTTCACTTACACGTTTCTGTATTTTCCTTTATGATATTTTCCAGGAAAGTCACATACAGGACCTTTTAAAGTTATCTACATGTTACTATGCATAAGTTCCTTATTTTAGCTGTTGTCTGGTTAGTTAACAGGGCTGAGGTGTGGCTACCTTCATATATGACAGCAGACTTTGGGGAGGTGGGTGGAATCTGAGTTTAAAGACTTTAAAAATACCCATTTTTACTTAAGTTTTATTAGGAAACTATTCTTCAGATATCCAAGTGTGGGGCAAACTTGCTTGGGTTAATTTGCTCCGCTTTCCTCAGAATGAACTTTCCTAGTTTATAAATTGCCTTATGGGCTGGCTTTCCTCTGCTAGGGACATCATACCCTTTTTTGCAGAAGGCAAGTAGAGAAGGCTGTATCTTTGTGTCTCGTTCT